CAGAACTTGCAGAGAAAATATGAGAAATAAGTGCTTGGGCCTCCAGAGGCGGTGGATTATGACTGTGGTTTTTAGACAACGACTAGGGACACTCAACATATGAGGTCAAACATTATCTTATATATATATGATCGGCCAATGGGCCAGAAGTTTTGGGTTCTCCTGGGTCAGTTATCTTATGCATGCGTTTTCACTGCACAAACGGCCAGAATGTAGGAGCGTCATCGGGCTAAATAAACAGTGGGAAAACCACACTAGCCAGTTATTGTATAGCATACTTCAATCTATCTCATCAAAGATATTCCGGTTGGGCATACAGTAAGCTCTGCTTCCAGATCAGGTAATAGTAGCATAATTAGTGATAAACATCGCACCCCATACAAACTCACAGGTGTCCCACAGAACGCACAGACCTTATACGATTTAATTTTGTGTAAAAACACAATCTTACTCTCATGTACATTTTTTGTGCGACTGCGTGAGCGGGAGAGGCATTGAGTCATCCGTCTCTTTTGAATGTTTGATGACCGAATCTGAATTAGGAGAGTTGACCTCACCTTATATATTTCAAAACTCAAAGCTTATTCTGATTAAACTACTTTTTTAGAAAATGGTTGTCGTTCAAAGAAATTACCGCTGTCCTTTGCCATTCATCTGTCATCACAGTAATGAAATATCTTTCGCGGTTGTATTTTCCCAATCACGTATTTCTTTCCCACAGATGCTATTTTCCCAACTGAATAGTTTCATGTCCGAACCAGAGTCCGGCGATTCGTATACGTGTCTACTCGAGAAATTAACAAACAATATCCCATACGACAGGTAAGCCTGTAGCAAAGTTCCAAAACTTCTTTGATCCCTATGTATTCTTTGCCCAAATGAAGAAAAGCATCAATGTTTCGTGGTTTTATATGTGGACCAGTATTGATATGTACAGAAGACCGATATGGACTTAGTTAGTTTATTAAAGTGTGCCAAATGTTGTACATACCACAACTGAATTTGAGACTAAAGCTCCCAGCATTTCAGTTCCGCCGGATTGCAACAATCCATAGTCTATCCTTCACGAGAATTCTTTTTTGAGGTCAATTCAGTGACTTTATAAATTGTATCATTCGAAAACTGATCATTTAAAAACACACCTAGGGTATAAAACCCTACGTATACAGCAACAAGCATATTTATTGTGATTATAAGCCACCAGATTGTGAAATGGCCGTAGCGCATTCTCATCGACTTTACATAGAATCTGTGATATGTATGGCTTTGTTTTTATCGGAATTTCTGATACTACATCAATCCTATCAGATCACAGACCACTGCTTGGAATTTTCTATCTGAGTGATTCCGATTTCTAGGTTTTCTTTGTAGACCGGTAAGCTGCTACGTGTCTGTATACAGTATTGACCAATTAATTTACCGAAATATGAGAAACCCGGGTTTGTTCGATTTACGATAGCTCGGAAACGATTTATCATACATTTCAGAGTATGTGCCCGGTTCTGCTTTCCCCTAGCGATATCTATGCAACCAAATATTGCAAGTATCTGTTAAAAGTATCGTGGAATGCACAGTATGGTTCAGTACACAATGACTATATTGCCCTCAATCTCTTCAATGCGTATAATATTTGGTTGCATCAGATATTTATTGTTTAACGAGATCAGCTGGTGCTGAGGGACCACAACGTACTACGTGCTACCAGAAGCAAATTCATAAATTCCTCGTTAAAACTGACTCATCTTTTTCTAGAAGCATAAAAGGAAAAAAATGAAAGATCCCAATTCTTGACTTTTTATGCTCATTTACAGGTGGTGGATTCGGTTACCTGAATGTCTTGAAGCAATAATGCTCTTGGATGCTTATTTGAATGTGGTTGGTTAGGATAAACCATGAGAATTCAATTAAATACCTTTGTGATTGATCGGTATTTGAACTCCGCTGTCTATGCCGCATTGCACGAGTTTGAGGAAACCTGACAAACAATGCTGATGCTAGGTGCAGAGAAATTCGCCGTCGTCCACTCCGGTGGTAGAGGCATGTATTGCACATATCAACGAATAGGTTGCCACAGCTCATGACGTTTGTCGAAACAGGTAGCGGATTGAAAAAAGGTCAGGGGAGGTACAACTAAGACTA